TTGTTATATCAGTAAGTATAAATAGGTCTTTTTCAGGTTGGTGAGATGCAATGAATGATGTGCCACATGGATCAGTGTTGGGACCTCCGCTGTTTACAATTTATTTAAATAACTTAGATAAAGGTAAGAATGTGTGGCTGCCAAATTTGCTGATGACACAAAGACAGAAAAGTAAGTGGTGATGAGAACATAAGGAGGGTACAAAAGGATATTGATAAGTTAAATGAGTGGGCAAAGATATGGCAAATGGAGTATAACATGGAAAAATGTGTAATGGTCCATTGTGGCAGGAGGAATAAAATAGAAGTATACTATCTAAAAGGTGTGACAGTACACAGCTCTGAGCTGCAGAGATATCTGGGTACCCTTCCTCATGAACTGCAAAAGGTCAGTATGCAGGTACAGCAAAAAATTTGAAAAGCTAATAGAATGTTATCATTTATCACATGTGGAATTGAATATAAAAGTAGGAAGATTATGATTTGTTTACACGGAGCACTGGTGTGACCGCATCTGGAGTACTGCGCACAATGCTGGTCACCTTATTTAATGATGGATGTAAATGTATTGGAGGCAGGTCAGAGGAGGTTTACTACACTAATGCCTGGAATGGATGAGTTGTCTAATGAGGAAAAGTTGATCAGTCTAGGCTGAGCTTTAGAAGAGGACGCAGCAACTTGATTGAAACAGGGTAGATGTGGAGAGGATACTTCCTCTTATGGAAGAATCTAGAACTAGGGATCACTGTTTGAAAAAAAAACAGGCAATGTCAATTTAAAACAGAGACCCAAACAGCCAACAAGTTGCTTTTTGCATTTCAGCCAAAGCATATTTACAGAAATTTTTAAAAAATAGTTATTTCCATCTGAATCAAAAACTTACTTGCATCAGCCAAATGACATTCTCAGCATTTCCATTCCACATCTGGAAGGGATCATACCCAATGTGATTCAAGACTAAATAATCCAAAGAACCTGGGAGAAATATGGAGCAAAGAAAATAACATTCTGCTTTTGTTCCGTTGATCTAACTTCTAAAACACAGTTCCACATGTTTCCTCATCCATCGCTGAATTCAAGGGGCATTGTAACATCTTCCACATTACTTTAAGTTGATAATAAATTCTACCTTCAAATATTAATGATCGACCCTCGTGCAATTTCACAGTTTGCACACTTGAGATCCTACAGATAATATGTAGACATCTGTTTTAAAATATTCATTGTTATTAATTGAATATTTCACTGCAGGTGTAAAAAGATGAGATACATAGTTATTCATATAGCACAAGAGGATGCCACCAGCCCATCATCCTGGTTCTCTGGAAGAGGCATCCAATTAATACCCAATCACTCCCCGACCCTGACTGTCTTCTCCCCACCCACCATCCCCTCCTCCCCAAAGTATCTCCTTTTCGAAAGTCAGTATTGAATCTGCTTCCGTTGGCAGTAGATTATTTTAACTGGCAAGTTGCTACAATCTGTAAAGTCTTGTCATCTGCCCCTCTGACCCCCATTGCTGCCTCCCCTCACCTACTCCCAACAACATCCCCAATCCCAGAGCCTAACTCTGATTTGAAGAGTGAAACACTTATCCAGCTTCTCCATCGCAAACTGCACCACCAGCTCTGAGTTCATTGGAAGTGACATATTCGCAGGATAGGAATAGACTTTCTTTGTGCCCAGTTCCAAACATTTCTCCACAACCTTTCGAAATAACAGCATAAACTGAAGAACTGGTTAGTTCATGTTCAAAACATAAGAAGCATAGAGTCATACAGCATGGAAACAGACCCTTCAGTCCAACCAGTCCATGCCAACCATGTTCCCAAATTAAACTAGTCCCACCTGCCTGTGCTTGGCCCATATCCCTGCAAACCTTTTCTATTCATGTACTTACCCAAATGTATTTTATTCATTGTAATTGTATCCACATCCATCACTTCCTCAGGAAGTTCATTCCATATGTGAGCCCACCCACTGGGTAAAAAATTTGCCCTCATGATTTTTTTCTCCTCTTACCTTAAAAATGTGTCCCCTAGTCTTGAAATCCCCCATCCTAGGGAAAAGACAAGTACTATTAACTTTATCTATACCCCTCATTATTCTATAAATTTCTATAAGGTCACCTCTCAATCTGTTATGTTCCAGTGAAAAAAGACCCAGCCTATCCAGCCTTTCCTTATAACTGAAACCTTCTGTACCCAGCAACATCCAGGTAAATCTCTTCTGAACTCTCTCCAGTTACATAAGTTACATCCAGAGAATTGAAGGAGGTGTCTGTAGAGATAGTAAAAGCATTGGCGGCTATCTTTAAAGATGCTACAGATTCTGAAAGTATTGCATATTAGAAAATAGCAAATGTAACCCCACTATCAAAGAAGGGGCTGAAAATAGAGCATTAAACATCTGTTAGTTTGATGTTAATAGTAGAGTAAAATTACATTCCCACCAGGTTTTGTAACATTAGCAAATTTGGAAACATTGCATTTGGTCCCCACATCCAGATAATTGTTGTAGATTGGGGTTACAGCTGTGGGCTCAGCACTGATCCTTAACAATTATAAAGGGTATGAAAATTAGATCCTCAGAAAATAGTGATATGATTGGGGGCATCAATTTATGAAAGGAAATTATCTTTGAAAAATGGGTTTTTTGAGCATGTTACTTGTAGCACAGATAATGGAGAACGAGAGGATACCAAGTATGTGGATTTTCAGTATTTTGCCAAGGTCCCACACAAGAGGCAGGTAAACAGAATTCAAGCACATTGGGTTGGGGTAATATACTGTTATGGATTGAGAATTGGTTAATAGATAACAGAATGGGGATAAACTAGTCATTCTCAGAGTGGGAAGTTGTTACTGATGAGATACAGCAAGGATCAGTGCTGAGCCCACAGCTGTAACCCCAATCTACAACAATTATCTGGATGTGGGGACCAAATGCAATGTTTCCAAATTTGCTAATGTTACAAAACCTGGTGGGAATGTAATTTGAGGAGGATGCACTGGGGCTTCAAGGGGTCTTGGACAGGCTAAGTAATCAGCAAGAACATGGCAGATGGAATATAATATGGATGTATGAGAAGTTATACACTTTGATAGAAAAGAAAACAGAAACATAAAGTATTTCTTAAATAGCGAGAGGTTGTTTACCACCAAAGGTTAATAGACATATTGCTGATATGTCACTGACAATGTGACATTGACAGTAAAAGATGTGAGATTTATTCCATCAGGCAGAAGATACAGAAGCTTGAACACACACACCAGCAGGTTCAAGAACAGCTGCTTCCCTGATATTATTAGACTGCTGAATGGACCTCTCTAACTTCAAATAATTATTGATCTTGCTTTGTGCACCTCCTGTGTAGCTGTAACCTGTATGCCTCACTCTGTCTAAGCACCCAATGATCTGTATGTCCCTGTTTGCTATGATCTGCCTGTGCTGCTCACAAAACAAAGCTTTTCACTGTACATGTGACTACAATAAATCAAACAAAATCAAATCAAATCAGAATGTATACCGGGACTAAAGAGCAAGCTTCAGGAAAGAAGAGGAACAATCACATATACTTCAATCTCACTATCCCAGAGATCTGTGGAAATTCAATTATTAAGCACATTCAAGACCAAAATCGACAGATTTCTTGATACTAACGATATTAAGAGATACAGTTGCAGAAAAGTGGTGTCGAAGTGGATGATCAACCATGATCTAAGATGGACTCAATAGCCTGCTCCTATAGTGAATTGGAAACTTAGCACGACATCTCTTTTCAGTTCTATTTTCTTTGACTTCAACCCTGCGATGTTCCTTACTTGTTTTAGGCGAGTTTCATTGCGTGCAGTTATTACAAGTTCAGCACCAAATCTGGCATAATGATATGCCATCTGTTCCTCTATTCCTTTACTTGCACCAGTCAGTAGGACACGGGAACCAGTCAGTAACTCTGTTCAAAAATAAACAAAATTATGAGAATGTCACAAATCAGATAGGATTATTTTTATTAAGGACTTTATTCGGCAAATGACAAGGTCGCATGTTTTGCTGTCATAACTTTGGATTAGAGTATAAAGTCAGTGGTACAAGTGTGAGCACAATCTGTATTGTAATTGTAGTGATTAGAAAGTGAAGATATCAAGTAATGGCCTAAATAGATCCAAATGTACTTTAGACATCCTGTGTACAAACTCCACTGATAATTGACTGTTTTCTGCCCTCTTGCAAATTCCTCCCTCACTCCACTGATTTAGACAGACTCACTTAAAACACACAGCACTTAAACAGATCATTTACCCCAACAGGTTCATATCTGTTTTTGTGCTTCACTCAAGCCTCTCTGATCTCTCCTCCTCTAACTCTATGAGCGAACTCCCTTCTCTCTTGTGTTCTTCTCTAGCCTCTGCTTTAATCCATCCATACAATTTATCCCAACTTACCACTCCCTGTGGAAGGACTCTAATGGTATAGTGGTAGTGTTCCTACCTCTTGGTCATAAAGTCCAGGTTTATATCCCACCTGCCCATGCATATATCATAACATATCTGAACAGGATTGTTAAAACATACCTACCACTCCCTGTGGTAGCTATTCTACATTCTCACCATCCAATCAGTTATGGGATCATGCTATGCATCAATTGACTGCCATGTTTCCTTCATCGCACCAATAAGTTGCATTTGTATAGCAAACATCCTAAGCCATCTCACAAGAGCATAATGAAATAAAATCTGACACCGTGCTAATAGAGCACATGACTAAAAGCTTGGCCAGGAAGTTCGGTCTTTCTTCACGGACTATACAATGCTTTGTGTCCTGCAGTGATGTGTGCACGATATAAACTGAAGTTTTTCCTAAATTAGGTATTTGGAGCAGAACAGGACATTGTGGACGATACATCAGTTCCCAATAACTGGGGCCCAGCTTTTACAGGGTCACACTGTGCTAGAGTTTGGGGAACTACACAGCCTGAAGCAGCCCCAGGGTCTGTGATTTCTGTCCTAGCCCTTAGTTTGAATAAATAGTAGGAATATTAAAGAACAATACTGAATTCAGCAGAGGAAATCGTCTGTTTTGTAAGGCTAAATCACGAGGCTGACATTTAAAGAAACCAGAATCAAAAAAAGCTTGCGATTGTTGGATTCACAAGATGGAACAGGATTTGCATCTGACAGGAAGGAAAGGTCATAGCAAAAATAAAGAAATACATTCATCACATGAACTAAAGAAAAACCAGCTCTTTACAAAGCTTTGTAATAGAGTTAATAAGAAATTGGTCTCATTAGTCCCTTCACTGTCACTGGTTCAAAATCCTGGAATTCCCTCCCTAATGGCATTGTGGGTCAACCTATATCTGGTGGACTGCAGCAGTTCAAGAAAGCAGCTCACTACCGCCTGCTCAAGGGCAACTAGGGATGGGTAAGAAATGCTGGGCCCAGCCAGCAACACCCACATCCCACAAAATGAATAGAGAAAAAGAATTAGTTGCTTTTATACTGTTACTTTCAATTTATCGGAACAATGTAATATAGAGTCCAGCTTTATTGATAGATTGAGGATAGAATGTCTATATACAATTTGTATTTGTTTCAGTTTAAAATGTTAAAGTTGTTAAAGACACTCAAAAGACTTATTAGGAGAGATGAAAGGGACTGTTTCCACTAAATCAGTGGGGAAGCTAGAACCAGGGAAAGAACTTTTAAAATTAGAGTGAGGCTTTTCATTGGTGAACTTTTTCAATGGAAACAGTGGTGGAAATCAAACTCTCACTCAAAATATTACTGAGGGTGAACATCAATTGAAAACTTTTAAAACCAAGTCGAATCACTTTTATTGGCCAAGAGTATTAGGGGTTGCAGGATTGAGGTGAATAAAATCAGAGTTGAGAAAGGCCCTGAGTATTTTTGTTTCTAATTCCAATTCCAATGGACAGAAAGCAGACATTGGTTCATTATCACCAATAGGAAACAATCTTGTAGCAAATCACAGCCAATTTTTCACTACAACCGATCCATTGCCAAGTGAAGTTCACAGAATAATAGGGTGGACTCAGTATTTTTTGAGATTCTTTTCGTACTGTTGATGTTTCACTTGTTATGAAATCAAAATTCTAGGCAATATTTCTCAAGTGAATGGAAACTAAAAACCAATACAGTGTAAAATCAGTTACCAATTCATTACCAAACTGTTTTGCATGGCTGGAATGGACCAGTGTCATCCTGCCACTACTTCCAATGCCTCCCAACCACACCCCCCCCCCCCACCCCACCACCCCACCACCCCAAAGGCCACACATCTGACCCTCAGACATGATGTTCACTCCTCTCACCCCCTAAGTTATGTACAAAGAGTTGGGATAAGCCTCAGCTCCATAAACCCAAAGTGGGAGGGGGTGCCCTGGATGGTGGGGGCTTTGGTTCAGCCTATGGGGCAAGGGTCACTAATGGGAGCAGGGCCTGACACTCCCAAAAGGGTTGGAGATAGAGGGCTACCAGATGTTGAGGCACATTGTCTCAAAGGCTGGCTCTAGAGCTTCATCCCATGTTAAAAGAGAAACCAAGAAAGCAAAGAACCGCCTTCCAACTCTCACTCCTCACTAATCACTCCCCATGCCTCATCCATGTCAATGCATGCCAACTTAAATCCTCCCATATTCCCTTATACCCCTGGGGTCAACATATGGTTACCAACATACTCTCCTGGTCCCTTATAGACCACATGCCAATTTAGCATCTACTCACATCAACCTGCAGACCTAACCACCACCCTTTGTCCTTTCACACTCCATGCTAACTCACACCACATCCATCAGAGACATATCGCAGGAGTCATGCTGAGAAGAAATAACATAAAATTCTAAGTGTCCACTGATTACTTAACAATTTTTAAAAAAAGGTTCATTGATCAAAACCCATTCATTGATTACTAATCCCTTATAAAAGCCAACATTCATCCAAGTACTTAATCACAAATAAAATCAAGCATCTGTATCCAGAGCCCCACATCAAAGCTTGTATAACCACTTGGAACTCTCAATTAAACTGTGTCAAACAAGCGCCCCAATGTGACAATCGTAGATTGCTGAATTAGTCATGGAGCACAAATTTGATAATGATAACCCTCGGGCTGATATGTGTAAATGATGAAATAATGTGCACAGATTTAAAAAGAAACTTTTTTATATTTACAATATATCAAATGACTTGGATGAAGAAAGTGAACACCAAGTTTGAGCAAAATAAATGCCAAAGAAATCAATTGATAACCTTAAAAAATGAGCAATTAGTAAATAAAAAAAATTGCCTCTAAAAATGTCAAGTAGCAGAGAAAACAAATAAAACTCTTCGTTGCTGTTTTGTTTAAGTGCCAGTGAGAGATAAACTTGACTGCAAGCCCTCATCACCAGGGAAAGGGGAGATGAAAGGAGCTAAGTTTAGGTGTTAGGTTTAACAAACATCAGTGCGCATTTACATCTGGTGTTGTACCCGCCAAACCGACCTGGGCAAAACTCATGCAAGAGTGAGAGAGAAAAGGGGATTGCCTTACTGACCGGGTTTTCCTCCTCATGCAGCCTAGTGCATAGTTAGGTTTCAGAGGACGGGTTGAGTTCACTGCTCATCCCCAGTCCCAGGTTCTCATTTAGTCTCTCACTCCCCTTCTCACACACTCCCTGTTTTCTCAGTGGCTCATTCACACACCTCCCCTCTGTTATTTTCACACACAGTTCGTTCTCTTTCACTTCCTCACATAACACTCCACCTCTTCTCTCACTTACAAACACTCCCCTCTCTGTCTCACTCTCTCAGACACATCTCACTTGAGGGGTGTGTTTACAGCTCACCTCAGTACTAACACTTTCAGAGAACTGCACCCTTACACAACATGCCCTTCGCTCTCTCCCTCCTTCTCTCTCTCTCTCTCTCTCTCATACACACTGTCTCTATCCCGCTTACAGACTGTGCCTCTCTTTCCCATACTCATACATTCAGGCTTTCTCCTCTCAGAGATGCTGTCTTTCTCTCATCTCACTTAAAGACTGTCTGTCTCTCTCTCTCTCTCACACACACACCAACTTATGGACTTTGTGTCCCTCTGACTCTCAAACTCTGTGTCACTCACCTTCTCAGTCAAGAGTCTGGATTTTAAAAGCACCTGCTGGGTGTGTTTTTTGTGTTCTTCATGGAATACAATAAAAAGGTGAATTTAACACACACTCAAATACACAACACGGAAACGTCTAATAAAGCAACGACAACTTGTATACAGCACTTTTAAGGTAATAAAAATTTTGAAGGTGCTTCACAGGAATGTAATAAAAAAGATTTGATACCGAGAATACAAGAATATGTTAAGTCAGATGACCAGAAGCTCAGTCAAGGAGCTACATTTTAAGGAGAGTCCTAAAGGGGAAAGCACAGTAAGAGGAGGAGAGGTGTAGGGAGGGAATTGCAGAGGTTAGGAGCTCGGCAGCTGCAGCATATTCAGCAATGTTGGATCAATTAAAGTTGGGAAAGCTCAAATTTACCCTATAAATTGCATCAAAAATCTTAAAATTCCTTACCAAAATCAAAATTGTCTCTCCACAATATTGCCAAAAGCCCTGCAGAAACTGTTAAAATGAGAATGGAAAAGCTTTTAAAGCCTGCCATTTCTGAGTATCCAAATTCGACCGGAAAAGCATGGTGAATGAGAGGCTTTATTGACATGTTAGTTATCATGAGTGCTGTTGGCAATACCAGTATTTATCGGCTATCTCTGAGAAGTGCGTAAAGTTTTACTGCCCACTTTAGATTGGATTGCAGCATTGCAAGATTAAAATTAGTCATGTCCATGAAACAAAGTGGTCCAATGTTGATGAAGGGACACTGGATCAGGGTCTATAGCCACTGCAATATTTTATAACCACCCCTTAACTTCTGGGTTCTAATTCCAAATTTTATTGAATTCAAATTCCACTATTTGCTCTGACAGGATTTGAACCCAGATTCCCAGAACATTACCTGGGTCTCTGGATTAACAGTTCAGCAATAATAGCACTAGGCAATCATTGGTGAGACCACTTCCAAAAGTAGTCTCACGAATGTCTTGTACAACTGCAACATGAGGTCCGAACTCCTATACTCAATGCTCTGCCCAATTAAGGCAAGCGTGTCAACAGCCTTCTTTACAACCTTGTCTACTCGTGACGCCATTTACAATGAACTATGAACCTGCACCCCTAGGTCAGTATGTTCAACAACTCTCCAGGGTCCTACCATTAACTGCGTAATTCCTGCCCTAGTTTGCCTTACTAAAACACAACACTTCGCATTTACCTCAATTAAACTCCATCTGCTATTTCTCAGGCCATTGGCCCATCTGATCAAGATCCCGTTGTACTCTTAGATAATCTTCTTCACAGTCCACTATGTCAGCAATTTTGGTGTCATTTGCAAACTTCCTAACCATACCTCCTATATTCTTATGATCTCCTGATCTCCCTCATGGCACAGATACATGACCTGAGCTCCCTCATCTGATAGGATGAGAACATGCCAGCAGATCTCTGAAATGCTGTAATTGTAAAATGAAAAGAGATAAGACCAATTGTAGTAACTGCAGAAGGGTATGCCTAATGCCCACCACAGGGATGGTCATTACAAGAAGCCTCCTCAACATTTGGAGTCGCAGGATCAGAAGCAGCAGTGGCCAGCGTGTAGCTCTGCTCCTTCCCCCTCATGCCACACATCTAATATTTCTTGCTGCTCTGTGGCAGGACCTTTGAGGTCCATGAGTGGCAGTGGCTTCCAGAACCAGAGGTCAATGTGTCCACACAACGATTGGCATGACACTCCAAGCAGTGTGGCCATGCAGCTTAGAGGGAAAACTGCTTTGAGGTCTAAACCCCATACCACCTCATAGAATCATAGAAATGTACAGCATGGCAACAGACCCTTTGGTCCAACTTGTCCTTGCGACCAGATATCCTAAATTAATCTAGTCCCATTTGCCAGCATTTGGCCCATATTCCTCTAAACCCTTCCTATTCATATACCCATCCTTTTAGATGTTGTAATCGTACCAGCCTCCAGCACTTCCTCTGGCAGCTTATTGCATACACGCACCACCCTCTGCATGAAAATGTTGCC